GATCACTCTCTTTATCGATATTCAAAATACAAGGGCGAAAAAAACACTGAAAGTTTGAATTTATACCATATTTCTAGTCGTAAAATGTTTGCTAAAATCTTTATCCAACTGTTTTCCAACTGATACCGTTAATTCTAGTAGTACTAATGTGATGAATTAGAAAACTTTGGAAGGGCATGAAAAAGCTACATTTAAGAGAGCGAGAGAGAGTGTGGTGATCATTTTAGTTTGCAGATGAAAACCTCGAGAAATGCATTTAAATTCCGGAAGTTAACTTTCAATCATGTAGGAGGTTTGGAAGGCGGACAAGTAAATTACTTTCAACTTATATTGAAGGTCTTGTTTGGGTGGAGATATTTGAGCCGATGATATACTGTTAGAGCTGAAACTTGGAGAAAAATCTACTGCCAGGAACTACTTCAAAATATATTCAAAGTAACGGAAGGAAATCGCTCATAAAGCCAATAGTGAGCACGTTCTCACTTTGTTCTACTGCTAATGCATATAAATGTTACCTTTCACTTAGTTGTGCGAACACAGGTGTTGCATGTTTGCACTCAGGACTCCAAGTAGTGTAAAATTGAATAATGAATATTGATTTACGATCTTTGTTCAACTCATCCTGAATTAGACATAATTCTTCAATATGTACGGAGAATAAAAGAAAATTTGTGCACTCACAAAAAGTTCTACTCCTTGAAAATACGTGATTTTCTCTGGACCGCTATAAATCGGCTCCGGTACTAACACAGTAACCACTGCAAACGAACGAATGTAACAAAGCCGATTGCTTTAGCATATGAAACAGCCTTACCGACAACAATTAGAAGATATATAACTCCAATAAAAGCATCCGCACGAAGGAATAAGGCTATGTTGGCGATTTTAGAGAAGAGAAAGATATTGTTAATATAATGCAGGTAGTTCGTCGCTTTCCTTCCTTTCCAAGCGATAATCACTGCCAGAAAGATGAGAATTTCTCGTTCCCTCTGAAATTGAAATGTGACCACTACAGCCATGGGGCTTAGAAGGGTGATGCACATAGCATTAGGTGGAATACTACAAAACATGTACTCAACAAATCAAAGGGAATAAATGTGATTAAAATATAAACGCAACGAATAGATTAAGAGGAAAAAAGAGCCCGAAACTTACCGAGTCGAGGGCACACTCTCCATCTTCAGAGACAAAAAACCATTGGCAAATTTCCGGAATACCTTTAGTCGAAAGAAAGGTAACGGAAAGAACAGTATTCAAAAGGTGGTAAAGGGTAAATACGTTCTTCGCCTCTTTGAGCTGCGGTATCAGCATACTCTGAAAAAAAGATGGAAATCAAAGATACAGTCGAGCACTTCAATTGCAGGAATTTGTTTATGGAAAAACTGAAGCACGTCACAACAAAATGATGCGTTAAAAACAATAATTTTTAACTAAAGTCAATAGGTTAGGAATGCGACGTGAGTGAAAAATGTTGACCGCGACTGCCCAAAATCGTGACCACAGTAAACCGAAATTGTGACTTGCGTCTTGAACGCTCGTAGCTCAGGAATATTATCGCAGCTGGGCTTCACTTCGCATCAGGAGATTCTTGTCACCACAGACGGAAACTGAAGAGAAGAACTTCCACTCAATCCCCCGTCTTGGTGATGCGTCCTACTGCTGACGTCCTCAATGAATTCTACGATCTCGTGGAGCTAGACGCTGGAAAAAGATTCAGTGCTGCTGATCGCCTTGTCTCGAAAGTTGTGAGTTCAAATGAGATTTTTCCTCGTTTTTCTTTAATTTCTAGATTATTTGGCAGAAATCGGACTCTTCAATCGTAGACTATTGTATCGAACGACTGGTGGCAGGGTTAAGTTCTCCGAGGGGAGCTGCGCGATTTGGGTGAGTTTTTGACACCAATTTATTTCCGGAAGTAAAAGAAACCAAAAAGAAGGCGGTCAAATATTTGCAGCGAATAAATTCTTTTTTGTGCAATATACAATAACGATTGAAGTGATTGAGGTGATATCCATCAAAATTTTCCGAGAGTTCGATTCTTTTCGACTGCTTGAGATTGAAAATAATATAACATTAGGTCAAGCAAGCAATAAATCGTGTTTCAACCATGGTTTACACAGGTATTCGGCTGCTCTCACTGTTCTTTTATCTGAGGTA